TACTCTGATATTCTTAACATTGATGGATCTCATTCACATCTGTCACAATGGCAGGATGGCTACGAAGGCTGGTACTGTTCTACCTCAAATCCGGACATGCCGCACATGAGGCAACTTCCCGAAGGGCACTGGCTTCAATGGTTTTGCTCTATCTTCAACTCCGCAAGGCGGGTTGAACACTTGAAGTTGAGGCTGAATGCAAAAGAATACTACTGGGACAAGTTGAGAAAGCTACTTACCTTGTGAGTACACATGGTAAAACAAGGCTGAAGGCAAGAACGACATAGCGGGCAATTTAAACTTCCGTCTCCTCTCTTGTTTTCCTCGTCTTGCGTCCCTCAGCATTTACGTCTCTCTCCTCCACGTTGAGAATCTTGGTCCGAACAGTCATAGCCGCTTACTAGTCAGCATTCTGGAACAAATCCACCCAGAAGCACGAACCACCTTCTCTTGGCTCGACATCACATTCGGCAGCCACTATCCTGCGAATAAACCGCCCGGGACTCCCGAGTTCCATGGACTGCTAGAGGCTGTTGCGCGGAACGGTCTGCACACGGGATTCCCTAACCTTCACATCCACGCATCATATGGAAAAACGTACTTCGTCAACAATATCCAAAGCCATTCGCTGGCTGTACGTGATTGTAACTTCGACAGTGTGGCCAGATTATTCCCCAGTACGCACCAGTCCTGGATTATATTGTAGCCATGTTCACTGACAGCAGCTCTTTAGTACTGTACCTTCACTCCCCACTCACCCAAACAAAACATTGCCATTGCGACGTGCTGTCCAGGAGCCTGAGAGGAACATTCCCTGTTACATCTGCTTCAAGTGCCAGTGAAGCTTCTGATGGTGTGTACACTTTGAATCTATCATGCTGCAATTCATACGCTGAGACGTCTGCAGAGTCTTCACCCTCTTCTCCTTCCGCGTCGCTTCAGACCTCATCGCCGCGAACTCGGCCGTAAACTCCCCCATTGCCTCCAGTGTCTTCACCAAGTGCGCGAACCCAAGCGTCTCCCCGCAGCTCAGCGTTCGCGACCGTGCTGTCCGGCACGCATTCTTAATCTGCCGTTGACGTCGCGCGCCGCGAGCTTCAGGACGAGCTCCTCGCTGGGGTTCGCGTCGGACAGCCCAGCCTTGCGGAGAAACGCGCGCCAGACCTGCGCCTTGCGAAGTGGAGCGCGACGTGGGATGCGCAAGAGGAAGGCCTCGTCGAAGGCGGTGATACGGTTCGTGGTGAGGAAGAGGATTTGTGCCGCGGTAGTGGTCTTTTGACTTCCCATTTGACACGTCCGCGTACGAGAGGATCGATTTCATCTACGGGGGTAGCAATAGGAATTGCTATGTGCCTGTGTTAAATGTGTGGTCTGTGATTGACGGGACACTGTATACAGGACGGCGAACGCGTACAGAGTCGGCTCGTCACTAGACGACAGCGTCCTGGCAGGCGACCACAAACTGGCCTTTGCGGACTTCATCAAATCCCTAAACGCGAAGCTTCTGCATGAGCGGTTCTTACCGGGTCCAGTCAGGGTAAGTGAAGCATTGGATGAGTTTCCGTGATGACTAGTGTACGGACGCTCGGGACAACGACCGATAATGCCGGACGCGAGCGACTTGCCGAAAAGCGCGAACCACGAGCAGGCCGGGCGGCTTCATTCAGTTGATTTGTGGCATCCTTGGAACTGCTGCCAGCAAGGACCAGCATGGTGATCGGGCAGGTACCTCCAGAGTCGGACAGAGCCTGATAGGAAGCATAGCATATGCAAAGCCCAGTGCTGAAGATGACTTGGGTAGAGTTCTACCGTCCTAGGTTGACAGCCACTGCGGCGGCGGCGCTGTGGGTGCGTGCTTGAAGAAGGGGCGGCAGCGCCGGTCGGCGGTGCAACCACAGCCTCTTGCTCATCCCTCGCAGCGGCATCGACGCCAAAAGGGTCGGATATGCGATCGGTTCTCGGAGCACGCTCCGTAGGCGTGTTGAAATGGAAGACGGCGAGCTAGCACACATATATATAAGTCAGAGTGACACGGCGGGCGATGACTGACCTCCACATTTCATCCACCTGAGACCTCCTCCTCCTCTCTCCACATATCCAGTAATCGTCCTATCTTCACCACATGGGCTCGCAACACAGTCGATCGACGCACCGTCCTCAGCGCAGCAAGGAAAGACGGTCAGGGCAGGATGGTGGTAGCAACGAGAGCCATCGATATGCCACGAGCGCGCATCACTGGACACAGAAAGCGACGACGAGCACGGGGGACAGCTCCCAGTCATCTGCATTGCGCTCAGCACCGGCTGCGGCAGCGCATCCGCCAGAGCCACAGCGGGGAACAAGGCAGACATACGGAAGGACAGACGAAGGAGAAGAGGAAGACGAGGACGACGGGCGTGGCCCGGAGGAGGCCGATCAAGAGGGTGTGAGTGCTTGATCGGTGTGCTATAACCCTAATTATAAGTAACAGCCATCGTCCTCCGCCGTCCTCCTCTCTCTTTCCCCCCTCCATCTCCTACATCTCACCCACCACCCGCCCCGGCGATCTCTAGCTCTACTCGACGTCCGAAACTCGCAAAATGGCCCCCGCGACTGTTCCCTGCCAGGTCAGACCTCCGCGATCCTCGCTTGTTGCCGGCGGCTGATAATGCTCCCCGTACCTCCAGTATCGGACGGGCAAGACTCTCGGAAGCGGCACCTACGCTATCGTCAAGGAGGCCGTGCACATCAAGACTGGCAAGTACTATGCCTGCAAGGTCATCAACAAGAAGCTCATGGAGGGGCGCGAGTACATGGTCCGTCCATTTCTGTCCTGAATCGTACCCAAGCCGCCCTGTCCCGGAGATCGAGCGATCGCAGCTATCTCTCTCCCGCACGACAGCGAACGCGACTGCTGAAAGTGCGCTCCAGGTCCGGAATGAGATCGCTGTCCTGAAGAAGGTCTCAAAAGGCTACCGCAACATCGTCACCCTGCACGACTACTTCGAGGTCCGTCCGCATGCGCGCATACATCCACCATACAACATTTTTGACACGTCCTATAGACGGCACACAACCTCTACCTGTGCTTCGACCTGTGCACGGGCGGTGAGCTCTTCGACCGTATATGCGCGAAAGGCAACTACTACGAGGCGTACGCGCTTACCCCATCCCCAATTCGTTTGACTTGTATTGATCAAACGCGCTGTCAGGGATGCTGCCGCGCTAGTGCGCACGATCATGGGCGCTGTCAAGTACATCCACGAATGTGGTATCGTACATCGAGGTATGTAGTCACACTCTGTTTCCCCTGCACCTGAATCCCATGAGAGCCCGGAACAGACCTTAAGCCGGAGAACCTCCTATTCCGCACGAAGGACGAAGACGCGGATATCATGATTGCTGACTTCGGCCTCAGTCGAGTCATGGACGACGAGAAGTTCCACCTCTTGACAGAGATCTGTGGGACACCTGGCGTGCGTTACCTGCCTTGTCTGGATTGTTGCTCGACCACTCAATGACTTCCGCAGTACATGGCACCGGAGATCTTCAAGAAGAGTATGACTCTTACAGATTGTGCGGTGCTATCTTACTGAACCGTCTCTGTTTGACAGCCGGTCACGGAAAGCCTGTGGATGTTTGGGCTATGGGTGTTATCACCTACTTCCTGCTTTGTGGTACCATAGCTTCTTGTCTGGGCTCACACTATCTAACATGTCACACAGGATACACCCCATTCGATCGGGACACCCAGCAGCAGGAGATGGAGGCTATCATTGCTGGCGACTACAAGTTTGAGCCTCGTACGTCTCACTCAATCTAAATGCATCTACGCTCATCCGCGACGTACAGTGGAATACTGGGATGGTGTATCCGATACCGCCCGTAACTTCGTCAGGGATTGTCTCACGATTGACCCCACGTCGCGACCGACGGCAGCGCAGGCTCTCCAACACCCCTGGCTTGCGTCCGACAAGCCTCACTTTGTTCCCGACCCCGAGAGCCCAAGCGGTCGCCCAACGAACCTGCTGCCGAACATCAAGAAGGCGTTCGATGCCAAGAAGACGTGTATGTACGCCTATTCCCTTGTTTGCCAGTACTGACATCTACTCCCAACAGTCCGCAAGGCGGTGTTCTCGATGATCGCAACGAAGCGGTTGTCCACGCTCGCCGGATTCTCTCCCGGCGCGCAGACGCTCAGTGCGAATATCGCGCAGTTCAAGGAAGAGTCGGAGAAGGAGCAGGTCGACGAGGTGCGTCGTACATTCGCGCACACGTTCGTGAGCAAGGAATGCTGAATACACCACCCAGGACCGCGATGTTGTGCATTACGACGGCCACAGCGAAGCCCAGTCCGACGACTCGTCCAGCAAAGAAGAGCTCAAGAAGCAGGACGACGTCTCGCAAAGTGAATCTGAGGGTCACGTCCCACTCGTGAACAAGCTGCAGAACATGTCCGTGTGAACGTTCAGTGAGCCCGCACTACCGCCGCCCCCGCTCCCCCCTTCCGTCGTGCTTCCGTCCTGTGACTGGATTCGGGTTCCGGTTCCGGACGTGGAAGGGCGAGGCGCGGGGGCTGACTTCTGGCTACTTTTTCGTCTGCAGCTTCCATCGCGGTCGGTGAGCGGCGCTGTTGTCACAGGGAATCGCGGGTCGAGCGGTCTCAAGGAAGAGAAGTTACAAGATGCCCTCGATGAGTATGTCTACGTTGCATCTTGCTGTGTATACTGGCATGCGCTTTTCCGTTGCATTTGTACGATCAGACTATATCTACAATATCATCATATGCGAAATCACACTGTTACTGTAAGCGTAATCTCCTGAGGCCCTGAAGTAGGATGCGTTAAGGTTCGTACAAACACCTTGCAGGTTCCGAGTCTACCTGGCCGTGCGCACATTCCACATGGTCGGCCATATGTACGTCGATGGCAAGTTGGCTATATGAACAACTGCGTTCCCTACGTACTGTATACGACTACCCACTCAAGCAATCGTATAAAAAATGAGACAAGGGCATCTCACGACCAACCTGGGAGTCGAACCCAGAATCTTCAGCTGTTCCCTACCGGAAACTGACGCCTTAACCATTAGGCCAGCCGGCCGATAAAATAGCTCTCTTGTGTTACAACATCTCCGTAAGACATTGTGTATGCATAAATCACTTCACAAATCAATGTGACCTACCTTACTCTTGCTACTTACTTTCGACTGTTTCCACAGCTGCGCAGAGAAGAACAGTAGAATGGATTCTTTCACCAGGGCAGAGCTACTACTGGCACTGCAAGCTCTCGGCGTCGACGTGCCCGCGCACACGAAGATACCGGATGGTGCCCTCCAGACCCGTCTCCGAGACGCCCTCGAGGCCGCGCAGTACAAGGACCATTTTCCGCCATCTCTCGACCTGAGAACGCTCCCAGAATGGCCTGTGTCGACGCCGGCAAACCCGACCGCGAAGAAGGGGCCGCTTCTTGACGCTTTTCGGAGGGGCAACTGGGACGAGGTTCGCCAGGCGGTCGAGGGCGTCCTCCCGGACGAGGGAAGGAACCCGTTCACGGAGCTGCGCATCGCCTTCAAGACCATGGCGCACTTTCTCGACACCGGCAGCAAGTGGTGGATCGTTCAGGATCCCGCCGACGCCAAGCGCACGATCAACATCCGGGTCTGTTGTCCTGAGGTCTCTGTCTGGATCTGTCTCTGCGCGTTGTTCCTGCCCGCTATAGGTCGTGACTGCTCTCCAGATCGATGAGAACACCCCGGCGCTCGTCGCGCTCTACCGCCACTTCGACCGCTCGACGGCGGCGCAGAGCTCCAGCTGGGTGCGCGAGCAGGCTGACAAGCACCCGTCGTCGGTCGCGGGTCCCGACGGCGTGCTGACGATCCATGCGACCGCCCTCGAGCAGAAGATCTTGGGGAAGATCTTGAAACTCAACGCTGCGCTGCTTCCGGCTGGGTACGAGGTCGGCAGGCTGCCGACTGAGAAATCGTTCCACCTCTCGGTTATAGTCCCGATCGGACCACTTGAGTACGATGCTCTCGCGAAGCTGAACAGCAACACTGGCTGCGCCGTCTGTGGCAAAAAGGCGACAAACCGCTGGTGCCATTCAGTGTCCTACTGCGGGACAGGTCGGTTCTCGCCACCGGTGCCCACTTCCCTCCAAACTGACAGCACTGTGGTCACAGCCTGCCAGCGCGCCGATTGGCCAAACCACAAGGACGAGTGCCAGGCGCTCTCTCTCAAGGACGCCAAGTGGGTCGAGGTCAAGATGAGCGCGACGCCGTTCAGCAGCATGACGGACGGCATGGTCTTCTCCAACCTCAACAAGAGCAGCAACATCAACCTCGGCTTCTCGGACAAGACGAGCGCGTCGTCCACGATCGACTCGTCCAGGGTGCCCCCGAACGAGCAGGGCGGGCTACCGGGTGGGCGGCCCCCCGGCCATTTCATGATCTACGACCGGAAGCGCACCTTCCAGTCGTTCCTGCTCCGAGAGGATGACACAGATGGGTTCCACGACGTCCTGGGCGAGATGGTCGCGTCCCCTCGGAGGCGGTGCGACGGCTGCAAGATGTACAGGTGGGCGAAGAGGACGGGCGACTGGGAGTTGAGCATCTGTCTGGATCGCGAGCCGAAGCTCGAAGCTTGCAAGTGGTGACTGTTCAATGATCATCTGTTCACTCTCCGTTCGATAATCACAGTGAGCTGGGTTGGAGTCTCAGTTATGTGAGTGTCTGGACGAATTTGGTCGTGTTTGGCAACAGCTCCATCAAAGTTTCCCAAAACAATGCTTACGCCGTACAGGGCCACCTCCAGCTTGACCGGCACCGAAGGTTAAGTTGATGACTCTTAGGTAGAGTGCCCAGACTCGTGGCCCCTCGTATTTAGGCTGACTGCAGCGGGTTATCGTCGATCTCATCACCCAGCCATGCAACATCTCAAGAACGGTACGTTGTCGGCCAGCTCTCCCCGCACTTACAGAACTGATTGTTGTGGCAGACTCATTGCAAGAGGTTTCTCGCGTACGCTTACTGCCCATCTCTGGGACAGTCGGGACAGTGCATACAACCCCACTCTCTATCCTCGATAACTCCGTCGTCCGGTTCGCCTTAACGAGTGCCGTCTGGTACTTCGACCCCGGCGACGACGCGACAAATGGCCTCTCGTCAACCGAGCTGGCCGACTCGCTGCAAATCACCGTCTACTCGTACCCACACTGGACGGGCCAGCTCCACTGGCTGCCCTACAACCCAGCCGCAGGCCAACGCCACGGACGCGTCGCCGTCACCCACGGCTCTCCAAACGACCCCGGGATCGAGCTGATACAGGCCACGCACGCACGCTCGCTCGCGTCCCTCGTGCCAGACAGCGAGGAGCGCATCGCGCGCGGCGCCTGGGACGCCAACGCCTGCCCGTCCGCCCACCTGCTCTGCCCCACCTCGCTCGCGCTGCACAACACGGATGAGTGCGCCGGGCAGCCCTGCGTCTCCGTCCAGCTGACGACGTTCGTCTGTGGCGGGCTCGCCGTCGCCGTGCGCATCGTGCACTGCATCGCGGACGCGATCGCGCTCTTCCAGTTCGTCAAGGACTGGAGCGCGGTCCACCGCGCGCGCTCCGCGCGCATGCCGCTCCCCCGCCTCGCCCCGCTCTTCGACCCGGCTCTCGTCGACGGCGAGGCCGCCGGCGACCTCGCGTGCGACGCACCCGACCCCACCCTCCTCGCCATCGAGAGGTCGCTCCCGATGCACCGCTACGACTGGTGGGCGTCCGCAGACGGGTGCCCCGCCCCGATGCGCGACGCGACGCAAGTCCCCGACGTCCTGCGCGGCGCAGACCTCGGGCCGCCGGGTGAGCCGATGCCCTGGGCGGACTGGGACGTCTTCGCGCCCGCCGCGCACTTCCTCGTCTACTTCACGCCTGGGGAGGTCCGGCGGATGTGGGAAGACGCGTCCCAGCCCACGTCGACGCCGACGACGGGCGCCGCCCGTGTGTCACGCCTGGACGCACTCCTCGCCTTCGTCTGGCGGCTCGTCGTCCGCGCGCGCGGGATGGCGCGGGACCCCGCGCTGGTCAACATGGCGGTCACCGTCGGGCTCCGCTCGCGTGTCGCGCCGCGCCTCCCGGACAACGTGCTCGGGTCCCCGATCACGCTCGTGCGAGTCTCGCTCCCGGGGACAGAGATCGCGGGGTTCGGCTCGGAGCTCGGGGCCCCGACGCTCGCTGCTGCCGCGTCTGCGATCCGCGCGGCGATGGCGGAGTTCACGCCCGCAGCGCTGGGCGCACTGCTGCACGAGATGGCGCACGCGGTGAACCCGCAGCGGACGTGGCGCGCGTTCCTCGGGCGGAGACACTCGATTGTCACGTCGTGGCAGAACCTGGATGCGTACGGGGTCGACTTTGGAGGTGGGAGGGCGCCCCGGTACGTCGACGCGGTGATGCCGAGCATGGACGGGTGTTTACACGTCATGGAGGCGGGCCCGGCGAGTGCTGCACCTGGGGCGGGACGTTGGTATGACGAGCCGGTGTGCGTGTCCTTGCACCTCGTCGAAAACGTCATGGAGAGCCTACTGAAGGATCCCGAGCTGAGAAAGTACAGAGACGGGTAGGACCGAGCTTCAGTCCACACGAGGAGAGGTTCACTTGTGCGAATAGTAATACATCAATCCAGTAGATACACAAAAATGAGGTCGCAAGATTGCCAGCGCGAGAGAGCTTGAGAGATGCCGGGTGATGTCCAAGATCTAGTGCCAAGTGGTCGTTAGGAGTAGGTGTTCTGCGGTTTTAGTCGTTCTTCACCCTCTCGTACCCGGCAGCACCGGCACCAGCGCCGCCCCACCCAAACCAGCTCGACCGCGACTGCTCACCGCGCTGCGCTGGGTGTCCAGGGAAGTCGCCCTCCATGTCGCTCGGCACCTCCACCTCCTCAAACGTCGACTTCCCGTTGCCCCCGCCGCTCCCGGACGAACCCCGCCTCTGAGTGTCGGGCGGCATCGGCACGGTCTCGAACGCAGGGCTCGACGTCGCAGACGACACGTCGTACCCAACCGGCTCCTGCTCGAGCGCTGCCAGCTCCGCTTCGAGCTGCCTCCGGCGCTCGGAAGTCTCCCCGCGCCTCTGCGAGCTCGAGGACGAGGACGAGGAGCCCGCCGCGGACGACCCAGCGTTCGCAGCGGCGCGCGCGGCGGATGCCTGCGCCTGCGTGAGGAGCGCCGCCCCAGACGCGATAATGCTCGGGCCGTACGTGCTCCACAGGCCTGCGACGAGCTGCGCAGGCCCGGAGACGGGGTCGCCCATGGAGGGCGGGGCGCCCGTGTGCGTCGCGGCCTCCTCCTCGAGCGGGGACGGGCCGGAGGGGTGCGTCTGCGCGTGCGAGACGGCGCCGGAGAGCTGCTCCCAGGCGCGGCGGAGGAGGCGTTGGACGTAATTGAGGATGTACACCTTGCCCGTGGCGAGCGCGGAGTCGATCTCGGACTCGTGCGCGGCGAAGAAGGGCCGGAGCTGGGTGTGGTAGAGCCAGGCGGAGCCGGAGGTCTGGGGCAGGGCGAGGTAGAGGAGGAAGAGTGTCTTGAGGGGGTAGTAGAGCGGGAGCCTGGACAAAGGCGTGAACGGGAGGGGCGGGGGCGGGGCGGGGAGACGCGTACGCACCATGAGACGAGCCATTCAGCGACGTATTCCACCGCGACGATGCACCCGAGCACGCTCCAGTACATGAGCCATCGCTCGAGCTCGGCCTCGGACGCGGGACGCTGCGAGAGAGTCTTGTATGATGCGTATCCTGGGTAGAGGAATGCTGTGGTCGCACTGGCCGCAATCAGCGTGAAATTGGGCACTCGTCAGCCTAGACGACATACCTGATCACTCGGAAAAGCAGGTAGAAGAGCATGTTCAGGTCGTGAGGAGATGGACGGTGAGGGGGTCGTCGAGAGGCATGGAGGTCAGAGAGAGAACGCTTGATATAGCCTGCACGCTCCGGCACAGTCGGCCCTCCCTCGCTAAATGAATCGATCAAGTCTTGTTACGCAAGGTAAGAACCGTTTGTTGACTCGCTACTAACCGTGCATTGTCGCGTTGTATAGGCTTCTATGCGACATTACAATGCCCTCAACA